GGGTCTCGAACCTGCGGGCTCAGGCAATCCACTCACCTCAGCCTCCCAAAGGCGTGGGATTACAGGCTAAGCCACGGAGCCCGGCTTACAAAATGTATTTTAAAAAATTAGCCAAGCATGGTGGTGCACACCTGTAGTTCCAGCTACTCAGAAGGCTGAGGCAGAAGGATTGCCACAGCCTGGGAGATCAAGGCTGTGGTGAGCTGTGATTGTGTCACTGTACTCCAGCCTGGGCAACAGAATGAGACCCTGACTCTAAATTAATTAATTAATCAATTAATATCCAACCTGGGTGACAGAGAACCCCCCACCAAACCCTTAATTAATTAGTTAGTTAAAGTAAAACAAAGTGCTTTGAGCAGCACCTGGTTCAGTGAACACAAAAAGCTTTCCTCTCATGCCACATCCATCACATGCTCGGGCCTCTCTCATGTGGCTGGGTCCCTCACATGAGACAAAGAAAGGAAATTCTGCTTTATTTTTGTTTGTTGATGGATTGGTTCAACGGAGTTCTGTCCTGGAACAGATAAACTCTGGCTTCAAATTTCTGGCAGACAGGCTGGCCTCGGTGGCTCAGCTTGTAATCCCAGCACTTTGAGAGACCAAGGCCAGTAAATTGCCTGAGCCCGTGGGTTCTAGACCAAGCCGGGCAACTTGGCAAGACCTTGTCTCTACAATAAATCGGAAGTTAGCCAGGTGCGGTAGCGTGCGCCTATAATTCCGGCTACTTGGAAGGCTGAGACAGAAGGATCACTGGAACCAGCAGGTCGACGCTGGGGTGACCGTGAGCATGCCACTGAACTCCAGCCTGGGGGATGGAGTGAGACTCCAACTCAAAAAAAAAAAGAAAATTCTGGCAGATAAACAACTGCTTTACAGCTTGAGCAGGTAGTTTCCCTGAGCCCTGTCACCTCACCTGAGAAACAAGGATGACCATGATGCCCTACTCTAGTCATGTTATTATTTTTGAACTGAGATGGCAGCAGCCATTTTCTTTTTTCTTCTTTCTCTCTCTCTTTTTTTTTTTTTTTGAGACAAGGTCTCTGTCACCATGCTGAGGTGCAGTGTCGTGATCATAACTTGCTGTAACTCCTGGGTACAAGTGATCCTCCTGCCACAGCCTCCCAAAGTGCTAGGACACCACACCTGGCTAATTTTTTTTTTTTTTCTTTTTTAGAGAAAAGGTCTCACTATGTTGCCCATGCTGGTCTTGAACTCCTGGCCTCAAGCAACCCTCCCACCTC